AGCTTCATAATAATGTTTGCTTCGAAAACAGCTGATCAAGGGTTGGCTTAAAAAAAAAAAAATATTGATTACTCACGTGACATTACGCACGTGACACTTTTTTCCTTCATACATATTTTAATAATTTTACATATATTTTCAAAAGTTTTTGACAAAAAAATTAAACTTTTATTCAAAAATGGAAAATACAAAATAAAAATTAAGGTACTGCAAAATTAATCCAATTTAATTGTTTCTTTAAGTGAGTATGCTGTTCGAGCAACATTTATATTTTCGTTATCTTGGTAGGAAAAGCAATGCATTTTTTGTATTCCTGGAATGGAGCGGACAATTTCCCATTTTTCATTTAATGGTGTAGAAAATTCTTCAATCTCTTTTGATGAGATATATAACAGACGAACTCCTTCGATGATTTTGCCAGCGCATTCATAAAATGCAAAGGCATCCGGTAAAATAATATTATTTGTCTTAACCGCTTGCCAAACTTTTCGCTTCACCACCGCGCCTACTCCATCGACTGCTCCTTTGCCATGCGAAGTGGCAAAGAAGTTCCACTCTAAATGCTTTAAGCCAAATTCGCTCACAAACGAAGGAATGCTGGTGAGAATATATTTGTTTTTGAATTGACTGGTGCTGCCATCAGAGAATATGAAAACCGTGGAAATTCCTTCGAATTGACTTTGAATTTTGTGCACAATTTTTGTAAGGAAACAATAGACGTCAAATTTGTTGTGGGTAAGTTTGTCACTAATAGCAGCAATACATTCAGTTTGACCTCGAAGCCATGCAACGCAAGTGAAAATAGTAACTTGTTGGTAGCTGAAGTGAGCTTCTTGGACCTCATTCTGATTGATCAACCGATAGTTTTCTGCAAAATCGATTTGCAAAATTAATTCATCATCACGTAAATTGTTCTTTTTTTCCTTGAAATATTTTTCCTGGTCGCGCTTTATAAAATAATGAAGTTTAAAAGCTGGCAGCTGAATTTCCAGTTCATGTAACAAATCTGATAATGGCGCTATAGTATAGCTTAATATTAAGCGATCATTAACTTTTCTCCAATAGCTCCAATTAACATTTTCTTCCATTTTGGTTAAAAAATATATAGGCACCAAATTATATTTTATATCACGTACACATTTCTCACAGTCACTAATCATGCATTTTTCGTCCAATACATTGCAGCATGTTACTTTCAAAAAATCTTCAAAATGAGATGGAAACTGAGGCATAGCTTTATGACATTCCTCTAGCAAAAATCCGAAGTTCGCATGGTATTTACATACACACATATTGTGCGGAAGTTGGTCCATTAATTTAACGTGTTTGGGTCTATGGTTAAAAAATTGGGATTTACAAAGATATTCTGAAGGGACCTCTCTTCTGTACAGTTGATAAGCTTCTGATACAGATACAATCATAAAGCGCTTTGCAACTACTTGCTTATTGCAGATTAAAGTATCTTTCCGGCCGGGAGATTGAACACTTATGTCATCTCGGATATAAAACTCGTGGACTGCTTTAATTTTTTCCAACATATTATCGTTTGAACATACTGGTGTCTCAGCTTCATTATTCGAGAGTTTGGGATACTTTTTATACAAAGCTTGTAGAACTTCATCTCTCTTCACTTCGTTCATTGGTAACGCCTTCTCTACCTTCTTTATAGCTTTTCCTAGTGTTTGTTTACACTTGTAACCACTTTTGAATTGGGTATTTGATATTTTCTTGGTTGCTCTACACTTTTGTTGTCGAACGCAATCTCTATTCCTTTTTTCTTTCAATATACTTGAATTATTTTTGGCCTCACATGCCTTTCTCTTGCGATATTCACGCATTCTTTCAGCTTGTTTTTTTTTATGTTCTTTAAGCTTATTTTCATCTAGCTTAAGCCTCTCCCTCCACCGATTTTGGTTTTTGGCATTATTTGACATCTAATATTTATTGTAAAAGTAAAATAATACTTATCAAATGGACTTTAAAAAAGAGTATTACATTTTTCGTACTTACCATTACGCACGTGACAAAGTTCAAAAGTAAAAAAAAAAATTTAATTTTTTCCGATGGTTATTTATATTAATATATTATTTTAGTAAACAATAAACTTGATTAACAAACAAAAGAACAAGACACTTTAACTGATAATGTGCTAATAATGGCACTATGTAGCTTTTTTGCATTACGCACGTGACATACGAATGTTGCCGAAATAGAAATGAAAAAATACCGTTATTGATGCACAGTTTGATCTCTTCTCTCATTTTTATATTCATTTGTAGTTGTATCAACTACTTATATACCAAACTGCGATATTGCATATATATTTATTTCGTCAGCAGCAATTAAAAGTAATACATTCTACAGCTTTTAAAGTGAATAAAAAAGTTATAAGTTTTGCCTAAAATTTTTTGGAATTTAAAATTATAAAGAGCTGAAAATTTTTGTACATAGTAAAATATCAACATTTTTCTTCTGTTTTCTGTGCCTATAAAAATTCTGCGAGCGTTTTGATTTTTTAAGTCACGGTGGACCACTTCATGGAAACACCCATATATACATTATTTTAGCGGTTAGGGCTTGGTATGACGAATTTCTCAGATGCTCCTCGTTATTTGGAAATCTGAAAAATTGGAGATAGAAGATATTTTCCTAACAAAGACAAAACTTATTTACACATAAAGCAGTGTGGTATTTTATATGTTGGCCGAATCCAATAAAGCTCGTTATTCGATTCCCTTCTATGCTGATTGACGCCAATTGGAAAAGCCAACTGATGCCAAGTCCTTCTCTAACTGGTATTTTTATCCTCTGCCACCACCAACAGCCGCAGCGCTTCTCATAGATTTACAAAAATTTTATTTTTTGTTAATTTTTCATAAGAGTTGTTTTCAAATAAAATTTTGTGAAACCGCTCCTGAATTTTGAAAAGTAAAATTGTCATTTTGGGTAAATTCTCCTATCGGATCTCTCTTTCTTTTTTCAATTTTTCGGCACTCTGATGTTGGGGAATGTACTTTGAATGTACTAGCAATATATATTAAAAGTTACAAGCAGCATGAACAGTTCTACCGATTCACATTTTTGCGGTTTCCATAGCTAAGTCGTTATTCTAAATTATGCCGAAAAAAATTTTATATTTGCGATTCGGAGTTGCGATAACAATATGCTTTTAAAAGAACCATAAGCTGTACTTTAATGTTAGATTGGCTACATCACAGCGCACGGCAGTGCGCGCGAGTCACGAAAGCAGCAACAGTAGCATGCTGAAATGACTCGCTTATATATACACGAGTTTTGGAAGTTTTTATCCAGACGTCCAATCGACATATATCGTTGGAAAGGTCTTGCAGAGTGTGTCCGGAAAATATATTCAAGCTTCGTAAACGATTAACCGGATTCTTAAAAATTTGGCTAAAGTATTGCGAAACAAAAAACGTTTTTGTGCTTTTGCCGGTTTTAGGGGGCATATGGGTACACCCAACATATTTAGTGTTATTCTATAGGCCAATACCTTTCAAACGATACCTTACATATTAAGTTCCGGCCACTAGTTGGAAAGATATAGAGGTAAATGTGTTTTGGTTCGTGTCTCCACTACGAGATGCTTTGGTATGTATGTGGCGTCTGTACGTACCATCATTTATTTTTTTTTGAAACTTTCTGGAATTAAAGTACACAAAAAACTAAGAAGGTTTTGTTCCAGGATGTTTTGATTCGTATGCCTGTGTGGGCGTGGCTGCTGCCTGAAATTCGAAAAAAGGCAATTTTTTAACTACCACTGAGGCCGCACTACTCAGTCCATGTCATTGATGTGGATATCAGTAGAAGGGTCTTCAAACAAGCTATCTAGCGCTATGTTTTGTGTTTATAAAATATAAATACGCCATAACGTTATCGCCTGAAAACTAAAAATCGGGCTGCTGAATATAGAGATTTCGGGCATTTTCTCAAAAACTGGTCAGTCGATTTTATTCTAAGTTTCCACAAGTCTAGCCCAAAAGCTTAGATTTCATCTGGTATATAGCTTATATCTGGAAAAAGTCTTGTTGTGGAGATATTGCTATTCAAATTGAAAAAATGTCGCTCCAAAAAGGGTCAAATGGTTAAAAATTAACATATCCGTCTAATTTGGTTACTTTAAGATATAAAATTAACTTACCCAGTTCCCCGAAAAAAATTGCCCATTCCCCGATTGCCACTTAAACCGAAATTCCCTGCAAATCGGGGAATTTCCCGCGAGTTGACAATTTGAAGGATGCAGCTGTGCTAATCACTTCGTACATGTCTTTGAAACCACAATCTGTGTGTATTTTAGAGTTCTTTTCAGTCACATGCCGAAATTGTAACATTCTTCCCCATTTTAATTGCAGGTACGTACACAATATTTAAATATGCTACATGGGTTTATCACCCGCACTTAACCTACCTGGTATTTACCTATAGTTGTACATAAATATGTATGTATGAATGCATTTAGTTCACCCAATGTTCCGCTACTACTTACATACATATGTATAAATTGCCACTGAGCAAAAATACTTGAGAAAAAATCATTAGTTTAATAGCACGAGTGCAACACCGTACACGTGATAGAAGTAAAACTTTTAAAAAAAAAGCACATGTGTGCGCCCCACACCCAGTAGAAATCTTAACAACAATTAAACTACGAGGCAATCAGACGAATACAGTTGTTTATTGTCCAAAGTTGGTACCAAGTTGATAAGTTTTTATCATTTGTCATATTTTTTTTTTTATTTTTAGTTTTTTCGAATACATATCATCCTTGATATCATCATATCCTTGATCACCCTTTTTCGCTTTATTCCGTATTCGAAAAACTATTAGGTGATTCACAAGGTGTCATAACGAGTCATATTGTCATAATATCATAAATTTTATGACGGTTTAAAATATTTTGTTGTTGCTTGCTACGTGAATTGTGTACTAATGAAATACAACGCTGCACGGTATGTTTTTGGGTTGTCGTATCTAATCAGCTGTCTTTTGTTTACCTTTTCATTTCGCATTTTACTTTTGCCATTTTCATTCTGCTGCTGCGTAAATTTGTTAATTTTACAAAGAAATGCAGCAAGGAGAAAATATCCAGGTAAGTTATCGAATACAAAAGCATAAGTGGCCAAAAATTTACTAAATACATTTGTTCCAGCCAAAGGCAAAACGTGTGCGACTTAATCCGACCAAGAAATGGACAGTGGCGGAAGAAAAGGCACTAGTAGAATTTTTGATGGGCAACAGAAATTTTGAAGTAGGTGTATAGTATAGTAGTACGATATTAAATTTATATTAACAACTTTTATAGAAACCAACAGCGCAATCATATTATAGACGGTTCGCGGAAGAGGCGAACATCGCTGTAGAGTGGAAGTTGATACGTGCGAAGGTGAGAAATATGAGGTTGAGCTATAATAAAGCCAAAGCATGGGAAGGTTCGACTGGCGCTGGCAGCATGGAAGGGGAGACATTAAAAGGTAAGATTTTTTGTCCACTATGAATTTCATTCGCTTTAACTTTAAGTCATACAATTTTGTTTCAGCTACTTTGCTAAAAAAGTGCACTTGTTACTATGAACTAGACGAAGTTTTTGGTGGCAGAATAGTGGAAGCGGCAATAATTGAAGAGAGCTTGGACTCTGCCTCGAGCAATGATATTTTTAATTCAACGATAATTGAAATAGAAGAAGGCTCCACGTCCGCAACCTATGGAGTGGTGGAAAGTGCAGAGCCGCCAAGTGCAGAGCCGCCAAGTCGCAGAGGCATATATTCGCGGACAGCTGTGTCGGATATAAGAGAAATTTACTCGGAGACCTTAAAGTTGAAAAGGGAGAAAATACAAAATGAAAGTACATTAAGGGAGAGAGAAGTATACATTAAAGAGAGGGAATTGGCTCTGAAAGAAAAAGAAATTGATTTAAAAGTTAAGGAATTGGAAATGAAAGAACGGTTGGCAATGGAGGAGCTTAGATTGAAGTATAAATGAATTCGAAGTGATTTGCCTGCCATTTAAAAGCAGAGGGAGTAAAATGTTCATAAAATTCTGCTTACCATTTTTAACTAAACTAAATACATACACCAGTGTGCGTACGCTGGTATCCACTTTTGTTTAACTTAACTATTTCTATCTCAAAAGCACAAACAAATTTGTATGAATATTTCGCTTCTTTTGATTTGCATAACACTGCTTATACGTACAACTTCAAGTACTTTTTTTATTTACCAGTATATTAATTTGAATTCAGGCTTTTTATTTCATTTACATTTCATAAATAATTTGAATTAGTTTACGTTTATACCAGAGATCTCAAATATATAAAATAAAGCATTAATCGTTTGTTTGGTTTTGTATGAAGTGCAATAAGGCAGCTCTAGTGTTGCTTGGAGGTGGTATATTAAGTTCAGATGATAGAATGTCACTGCTACTTTCTTTTTCTGAATATTCTATTAAAATATTGTGCAAGATGCAGCACACCATTATCCATTCATTGCAGTGCTTTTTATTTTGATCGGTAAGCATTCTGAATTTAAGTTCTTTTAAACTACCAAATTTTTCCTTTAACAACCCAAAGCAATTCTCAATCCTCACGCGATATTTGGAAAAGTATTTGTTGAATAGATCTCTACTCTCTCTTGTATACTCGGTACTATTTTGTCGGAATGGTGTAATTATAAACGGTTTCAGTGGATAAGCGCTATCGGCAGCGATCCACTGAGAAGGAACTAAGAAGCGTTCGGGATGTTTAGAAAGTGGGCAGTCCAAAAACATTTTTGCGTCGTGAACGCTGCCCGGGTAGCCTACTGTGACTTGCCTTATTCGCAACTTATAGTCGCAGACAGCTTGCATTTTAATGCAATACTGGCGTTTCCGAGAGAAGTAGAGCTCATGTTTCTTAACAGGTGCTTCGGCCAGTCTAATTTCTGAGCCGTCGATATAGCCTATGCAACCTGGCATCTCATTCCTCGTGGCAGACACAATTTGCAGTCTTTCGAATTCACTTGGCCAATTCAAAAACTTGCTTTTCAAAGATAATATCGCTTTAAAAACTCGTTGTGTCACATTCTGAATTGTGCCACCATCGCCTACGCCAAAAAGAGACGCAACTTTTCGTATCGATAGCCCATCGCCCGAGGAGCCTAATCGATACAACACAATTTGGAGTTGCAATGCTATTGGAAGCTGACTTCTATGGGAGACTGTTTTAAATACGTCAGCGTCTTTTATTAGGTTTAGTATGTACCCAAACTCCTCGGGTCGTACGCGAACCATTTGATTAAACCTCCTGTCGTCAAAACTATTCAGTACACGCCGGTGCCAAACAGCAGATTTTGGAATTCCCAAATGAATACTTCTGCGGTTGCACAAAAGGCTTAACATGTTCATCATGAAGCGTTCGTCCGCTTCATCTTGCTCCTCCTCATCGCCTAGAGGAGAATAATATACGAATGCCAAGAAAGTATAGAACGATTTATATCTATAACTTACTTGAATCTGCAAAAATCATGTCGATAACCTGATTTACACATAATTCAGCAATTAGTTTATTTTTCTCACTTTCCCGTGGCATTATTTTTTAGTTTATTCGCAATCAGCTGATTAATAATTGAAATAGGACACAAAGTAAGATAGTGTGTTCACACGAGTTGTATATCCGCCCAAATTTATTATATGACATATGACGTTATGACACCTTGTGAATCACCTATATGTGTTTCAATCATATATGTAATACTCCTATATTGGCAGTAAGTACCGTCCGAAAACACTACAGTACAGATATATCAATAAACACGTACGAAAGAAAAGGAACACATACGTTTATATATAAACATGTACACGACACATTTACAAAACCGGCACTCAAGTACACAATACATTGACAACAAGTAAGAAAGTCTAAGTTCGGGCGGAGCCGAACATTAAATACCCGGCGCAAGTATTAAATATATGTTTCTTCACCTTTCCGAAACCTACCGCTAGATGGTAAGCCGGCCTGTATCAATTTTGAGTAAATTGGCGTCCTTCAATTTCGAAATATTGAAGTTTCAAGCATTTCTGAAATTTACCGTTATATGAAAAGCGGCCGTAATTTTAGTCCGATTTCAATAATTTTCAACGCTTTGCTTTCATGTGGCAAGCACAATAACCACACCGAGTTTGGTACAAATTGGGGTCCTTCAATATCGCAGTTTTCGGTGCCCCGCCCATTTTCCAAAATTGTACCATAAAAGTATTTCTTGGTAAAGAATTTTTGCAAGCATCAATTTTGAATAAATTAGCTTCAATATTTACTGATTTATCGAAGATTTTGTATTTCTCTAAATTACCGTTATATGGGATGTGGGCGTGGTTATTGTCCGAATTAAAAGATTTTCGGCCATTTGGTATGGTGTACCAAGGCCAACAACTGTGCCAAGTTTGGAAGAAATTGGTGCAGTGGTTACCAAGATATACACGTGGCTACGCCCATTTTCCAAAAATTTATAATATTCTTATTTTTCGTCTAAAAATTGTTGTAAATATCAATTTTAAGTGAATAAACTTCAGTAGTTTCTAAAATATCGCAGTTTTCGTATTTCTGCAAATTACCGTTATATGGGAAGTGGGCGTGGTTACAGCCCGATTTCGCCCATTTTCAATACCAACCTAGCTTGGATTAAGGGAAACCTACATACCAAATTTCGTTGAGATATCTCAATTTTTGCTCGAGTTATCGTGTACACGGCGGACGGACAGACGGACAGACAGACATTTATGTATACATTTGTCTATATCTATCTCGATTCGTTTTGGCTGTTACAAACAGCCGTTATGTGAACAAAATTAATATACCCTTGTGCACAAGTGCGCTCGGGTATAAAAACAGTACTAGACTGTCTCGCTTTGATTTCGGAATGCTTACACATTGAGATGTTAGCTTACTATCAATATAGAAGTATTACATATGTGCTTTGAATGTACTAGCAATATAGAAGTATTACATATATGTTTGGAAGTATCTCTTAATTGAAAATGTTTCAACTAAGTTTCAATGATAGAAAGTATACTATAATTACATACATGCAAGGACTTTAAGATATAAGTTCGTTAATTTAGTATTTAAGCCTCTAACATTTTGGTAATAAATACTTAAAGCAGATTTAATAATTAATAATTTGATTCAGTGTTATGACGGGGAATATTAGCTTATTAAGCTATTACCTTTTTTGGGCCTATCTTATCTAAATTTACGTCAATTTTAAATGAAGCAATATTTCTTTCGTATTTTAAATTAAATTTTCTGATGCTATAGTCGACAGTTTTAATTTTTGATGAGATATAAAACCTTATATCGTCTTCAGAAGTGTCTCTCGAATATCTAGAGACAAAGATTGACTTCTTTAGTAGCACCACAACCAGTTTGCTTGTATCAGACTCGAGTACCGGCGGAAAGGGTTGAGTTGCCGCGTTACTAATTGAGGGTAGGGAACGCGGTGGAGCCTTTGAAGACGATGGCACCACTTCAATGGGGGAAGGGGAAGATATTTCAAGCTCGTTATTATTCGAAGCAGATTTCGTTACACGCTTTTTTGAGGGTGAGGATTCTGATGTTGGAGGACATGGAGAAGAAAGATTAATTAAGTCAGCCGGACTTGCTATATATTCTATGCTATATTCCTCCCCGATCTGACTTATCAGTGTATTCACAACATGTATCTTTACTGAAATCAATTAATTCAATGATTAAACCCTCTGATTCATTGATTGTGTTGGGTGACTTTAATTTACCAAATGTATCATGGAACATCATTGACAATGATATTGTACCTTTCTCGTCTAGCGCGTGCAACAACGTATTTTTAGAGGAGATGGCTGAACTCTGCCTGAATCAAGTTAATGTACTTCGCAATAAGTTTGGCAAAGTATTAGATCTTGTTTATGTTGATGATGCATCTAAGTCGGCTGTAAATAAATGTGACCCACTAGTTTTGCCCGAAGATGTCTACCACCCTGCTATTGAGATATCTTACGAAATTATAAACGATGGTCAAAATTGCGATGTCCAAACATACGAACCAAATATTCGCTTTGATTTTTCGAAAGCCAACTTTAAAAACCTGAATAAAGAATTGTCTAAATTGTCGTGGCCTATATACAAAGAAAAAGTTGAGCAAAGCGTTGCACATTTTAATTGTACTGTACATAGATTATTTGAAAAGTATGTGCCTAAACGCATGTGTGTTCCTGAAGAACAAACACAGTTATGGTTCACTAAAGAACTAAGAAACTTGAAAAACAGAAAGTCACGTTATTTTAGATTACACAAAAAAACCGACTTACACTCATACTATGTAAAATACTCACTTTTGCGTCACAAGTTCTTTGAATTAAACAAAAAGTGTTATAAAGATTACTTGTGTAAAATCAAACGACGTATAATATATAACCCCAAATCATTTTATGATTTCGTAAACTCCAAGCGAAATGTACGTGGGTTTCCTTCCGCCATGAAGTATCAAAATACCGTCTCTGGTGATAATCAAACAATTTCTAACATGTTCGCTCAGTTTTTTAAATCCAATTATTCCACTAACTCCCAAGCATACTTTGACTATCCTTTTAAACTAAGTCCAATTAACTCAATACATAACCCTATAATATCTCCCGATGATGTTTTAGTTTACCTGAAGTCCTTAAAGCAGTCTTTTAGTTATGGTCCTGACCAGATCCCCACTTGTTTTCTTAGAAATTGTGCTGATTATCTCTATGAGCCGTTAACAGCCTTATTTAATTTGTCTTTTAAAGAGGGCGTTTTTCCAACTGTATGGAAGGAATCGTTCATAACCCCCTTACATAAAAGCGGTAGCAGGTCTTCAGTGGAGAACTACCGGGGCATAGCTAAGCTTTCTGCAATTCCTAAATTATTTGAAGCAATTATAACAAATCGGTTGACGCATTCTATCACTTCAAGCATTTCATACAGTCAACATGGATTTTGCAAGGGCAAATCAACTTCTACAAATTTACTTGAATTAACATCCTATATCTCAAAAGCATTTAGTGAGAGCAAAACTGTTGATGTTATATATACTGATTTCAGTAAAGCATTTGACAAAGTGTGCCACTCGTTGCTCATCTATAAACTTGATCTTCTTGGTCTTCCACCTAATTTTCTACGTTGGATCTCTTCATACCTCTATGATAGATCACAAAGGGTATTGTTTAAAAATACTATCTCTGACGTCATTGATGTTACTTCAGGAGTCCCTCAGGGTAGCCACCTAGGCCCGATTCTGTTCTTGCTTTTTATAAACGATATTTCTACAGATATAAAATTCTACAAAATTTTAATGTATGCAGATGATGTAAAACTTTATAAATCATACGTTTCAATTAAAGAAAGGTCTTTGCTACAATCAGCCTTAAACAGCATGGCTTACTGGTGTAAAGTAAATCTTATGCCTCTAAATCTTAAGAAATGTAAAGTAATGTGCTTCTCGCGAAGAGCTGTTCTGCCAGTTTCTTATATAATAGGTAACCATAACCTGGAACAGGTATACAATTTTGTGGACCTTGGTATCACAATGGATCCTAAGCTTAATTTTAATCTTCACATTAATGTGACAGTCAACAAGGCTAAAGGTGTACTTGCATTTGTGAAACGATGGTCAAAAGAATTTAGTGACCCTTATATCACTAAAACCCTGTTTACAACATTAGTTAGGCCGATTCTGGAATACGGCTCGGTGGTTTGGAATCCAAGGTATCATATTTACTCAGACAAGATAGAATCAATTCAAAAACCATTCCTACTTTTTGCTTTAAGAAATTTCCGATGGGATTCTCAATATAGTCTTCCACCTTATACGAGTCGCTTAAAACTTATTAACCTTCCTTCCTACACTTGCCAGTCGCAGGGAAATGCTTGGTATAATTTTTATGGTTAAATTACGGACAGGCTCAATTTCAAGTCCGTCTCTTCTGGCTGATGTAAGCTTTAATGTTCCCTCACGCGTATCAAGACACTTTTGTCCCATATTTCTGAAAGCTTGTAAAACCAATTTTGAATTGCACGACCCACTCCGTTGCTTATGCCAGGATTTTAACTCTCATTCCAGCACGTTTGATATATCAGATCCGCTTTTCAGCATTAAGAAAGCGATACTCTCCTCTCTCAATAAGTGAATTATTGACATAAATACATAAAATCAGCTGATGAATTTAGTTCTGTAGCTGAACAGTTTTAGATCTCGACACTTAACAAACTCCTGCCTATCGTGACTCGGCACAAAAATTTAAAATATTGGTTCCGCACGTCATGCGGACTGCGCCCCTCGTGCGGATGGGCGGGAATGGAGGGTAAAAGCCGTTGGAATATTATTATTATTATTAAGATTGTTCTGACGTGGAACGATAATAATTTTATTAGATGGACTATGAAGACGCTTACTTTTAGACACACGGATAGTCTTGAAGGTATTTAAGCATCTAAAAGCATTTTAATAATGCTTAAATTTTTTTGTCAGTACTGACAATTGTCATCCTGTTGCTGTAAAATCTTTTCTGGTTTGACTAAATAATTTAAAAAGATCAACTTCGGTTGACCTGTACTTTAACAGCAAAGACCCTTGCCACC